GTCTCCGGTTTTCCTGAAGTCATGTGACTTTTTACTTAAGCATACTGCAGAATAGTCCGATGATCTCTGATGTGCACTGAGAATGCGGGCTTACTGAGGCCTGTTTATCGGTACGCCTTTGATGTGTGACAGCGGGGGACTGTGACAAATGAGCACGGTGACACACAGAGGTTTTATGATATTCACTATCGGTTATGTCACCTCGATCTGGCCCAAATTATTATTCTAGAATCACTAGCACTTTGATTCAGCTCGTGTTGCATAGCCTGCCTACTTTCTACTGATTTGTCTCTCAGACAAACAACCGTTCTCAGTAAAAGATGACTTTCAGAGTGGTGCCACACGGAAACGCTATTTTGTTGTGTTTAAAGGAAACTCCAACTTCGCTCTTTTTAATGAACTTTCACGATCAACTACTTGATTACTACTGACGGTAACTTTGGCGCTCTGTTGTGGTGTGTGAATTTCAGTTAAGCTAGACAAAGCTTTATAAGGATGAGAAATGGGAACTGAAAAGTTACACCGGCCCAAGTGTCTAAGGTTTCACGGGGGACATTGAGAATCGCGCAAGAAGCCACTGATTTCCTGTAACTGAATGACCGAATGGTGGTTTACCTTTGTATTCAAATCCCATTTACCTCAGGGCCACCTTTATCATTCATGTGACAGTATTTGCCGTCACAATCTTCAAGTGGGATAACGCACTGTCACCAAGGCAACTGACTGCAGTGACCACAGTCAAAACATTCGTCTTGTTGTACTGTGTGACCCAGTTCCTCACCCAATTCACCATAGCAACTTACAACTTATGTAAAAGGCAGTGATTGAAAAAAAACGGTCTGGCAATGCTCAATCGCCATAGTTACCATTGTCGAAAGCCAGGTAGCCGCTGCTAGTGTCCGCGGTTTGGCAAACGTCATTGAGTTAGTTTTTTGTGGGGGTTGGATGAACCGAATGACGTTTTGGGAAAAAAACCTCTAGTTTTCCCCCTTCCCGTAAACCACATCTGTAATACATTGGACAAGCCATATGTTCCAACTACACAGAGAGGACAGCGCGGGGAAGGAGGCTCATTGGTTTCATACCCTCCATTACGCTAATTCACGCAGCTCAACTAATGAGGCGAAGCCGGGGCGCTTTTTCTGGACCAGGATGTGTCAGGCTGTGACCCGATCAGGACAAACGGTCTTGTTATTACACACACACACACACACACACACCTATTAGCCCACACAGAGATGCCGAGAGAAAACTCGTCACAACAACTCGTGAAGAGTAACTCGAACGAAATTCGATCACTTGATCGATAGCGTTTGTGTTAGTGTCTATCTCGGCCCTAACACTTGGCACAACCCATGTTACAATCACACCTCTTTTCATGATTGCAGCTTCTTTCAAACAGAATAAAAAACATTAGTCCGTCTGTAGGTGCGTACAAATTGAAGGTAACCATAGTTTTAGAATGAGGCAAGCTTCTGAGGAGCGTGGCTAGTGTCGGAGTATCCGAGGCAAATCCAGCCAGCAGTTGGAATTTTATAGTCGACAGTATTGCAATGGTTTCTTCATCTCGACAAGTCCGAACAAAACTGATGACATGAGCGAGCCTCGTGTTCCGTTGCAGAAACGCAACAGTTTCCCAAGAAACAAATCTGATGATACAAAGCCGCCAATCCCGAGGTGAGACACCCTGCTATCTAAAACGTGACGTGTAACTAGGCTTTGACTCCAATCTACTCAAGATAAGTCAAAATATTCAGCCACAGAGACCCAGAATGAACCAACAATGGTAAAACTGAACACGGGCGAGTAGAACCATAGGTTGATCATATGGTTTGGGATACACAGACTGAAGGTCGACGGATCTTTGTGTTATCTTCTGAGACAAGGACCTTCCTTCTACTCTGCATAGGAAGCACATGAAACGTTCATCCTGCCCGTGTGGTTCATTCTAGTCACCAGCGATGAAATCCGAGGCCGTCTGTCTCTGCATGCTGCTGGCTGCGTCCCAGGAGCGGAAAGTTAACCGATGATACTCGACAGAGACAGCTGAGAGGGCCGGAATTCCGACTTAGTATTGTGGAACAAAATCCAAACCATCTGCAAGGTCCAGAAGCACAGTCATTTGTGGATCCATATTCTCTGGTATCAGGGGGAAACGACATTGTCTGTGACACAAAAGGTTGGAGTGAATACCAAACGGATTCAGGTGAGCCGCCCTTAGAATCCAAAGTGCCATCCAATGAGTGTATTCGTCGAACTTTCTCACGATTTCGTTGCATTGTATATCCCATCTTTTCACAATAACTCTGTGAATTTAGGCTCAGAGGCATAAATGCCACCTGCAGACATCAAACGTATTGACCAGGTTAGACTGCATTTGGGACTCCTGACGTTTGACATATGAAATCAGGCAGAAGAAAGTCAGAGGCTATGAACCATTGCTTTGGCAGTGAAGTATCAAAGCCATTACCGGCAAACTCAGTTGCGCTGGTCGTTGCCGTCTTCCTGGATGAGGACTCCGAGACCAACCAACATCAATGGTTAGAGATATTGTCAGATACGGCACAGTCGCACCCTCAGTGGCGTCCATGCATCCAAGCTATTGCCTCAAATGCATAACTCCTTTCCCAATCCACCTACAGTGCTGTATTTACGCACTAATTTATCAGCTACCACCTCCATTGCGCAGCTACCTACCCCACCTCATCATCGGTGAAAGAAACTGTGGCAGCTACAACCACTGTACGACAAGTACACGGTTATTACAGCTGACAATGGTGATGATGAACTGTTCTTATTGGTTCATAAATGAGCAAGGGTGTGTCCACCTATTCGAACTACTTCATCGTAGCACCAGACAGACCGGCTTTCTGAAGCTTCAACTGAACTTTAAAGACATTCTTATAAAATCAAAAGAATGAAATTTGCCGCTTGTTTTACAACAACGCATTCTGACTCAACACTTGAAGTTATTTCAGTCGGGAGTTTTTGAAAACGTGCATAAGTGGACAGACATGGCTCCTTCAAAGTTGATAAAAATAGAAACGATGGTCCATCATCCTTCCGGCGTCGAATATAAACGTATTCTTGTGAAACTTGCAGAGAAGGCCACATGCCAGAACATCGCGTTTTTCCTCACAGCTGAGGATATCTGCAGAGAATTATCTGCCCTCTGTAGGTGATAACACTCCCATGGGAGTTCGAAGTATTTTTTTTCGGAAACCAGGTCTTCAAGAGATTCTATCCAAAGAAAGGTTACTCCAAAAATAAGCTTAGCAACCTGCGCCAAATACGTTACCATCCTCGAGAAATACACTCATTTTCAAATCAGTTTGGTTTTCACGGGAGACTCAATTGAATCTCTCGTTTATGATGTCCTGCAGCCGACTGTGCTGCACACAGACTGCCTCATGATTCAGTCGCGACGATATTCGAGATATCGCAGTAGATCAAGTAGATCATAAGGTTGACGGAAACTCGGGGACTGCGCCTATCTGATGAGCGCCAAGAAAGGCGAAACCGGTCGTGGGCTGTCGGAGAGTTTTCAGCAACCTTGTGAGTAGTTTTCTTTATGAAAAGGTTACCATCCTGATTGAGAATGCCATCGAGCATGGCTGATGGGAATCCGTTCCATGGTATCTTGACAAGACTGTGTGTATTGTAGAGAATAATCGTTCACAGTGAAAACCAAAGATCACTGAACAGCACTGTCCTTCCGAAAATAAAGTCAAATAATCGATGGGAAAGTGTAAACTAACATGTTCATGCCTGAATATGGTATTTACTGGAGGTAAGCCACTACCCTTTAGGTGCTTCATTTGAACCCAAAACACATGTGAATGTATACGTCAAAGTTCAAGCGACTTCGGTTCAGTTAGAACATAAGGTTTACTGAAACTCGGGGACTGCGTTTGCCTGCTGAGCCCGAAGAAGAGCGAAACCGGTCGTCGACTGTTGAAGATTTTTCAACAACAACGGTTTGGTGTGGTGAATTCAGTTAATTGAGGACAACTTTCACAAAAACTAATCCCGACCTTTCGGACGGTCAGTCATGTCACAAACTCCAATAAGCTGTTCGTCCAAATGAGGGCACACTCAAGCAACGATTTGATTGTTTAAAACCCGAAGCAGAGTGAAAATTAGTTCAGCGAGTTAGATGCGTGATCTTATTACCTGGAGAGGATAATGTTGACAGTTTTACAATTGTTTGCTACCTATATGACTGAAAGTCCGAAACCGGTGTTCGCCTCATATTCCCTTTTCTATCTTGCGGAAATTTCTCAGTTATTCATTCAGTCGCTCCACGGAGATTAGATGTTGGTTGCTTAGAATAGCTAGCAAGTTGTGTTCAACCCAATCCCCATTTGGTGGATCAGAACAAGTCAACAAACTTGCCGTGTTCTGGTTGTTTGCTCTTTTAGTTCGCCGACATTCCAACCTTCCACCGGATTCAGTGACCTGATGATTCTGAACGCGGTCGAACGCCAAACCGATAAACAACTTTGCCTACACGGACCTTGTCTACTGTTACCAATGATTCGCTAGCATGCGGTCCCCCATGAACTTTTTGAATTAGTTGTTTGAAAAGCCGCTCATTGGTCTCGTCGTAATACATTTGAAGGATCGCAGTTGCCATGCTTAAAGAATGCAACACCACTGAGACAGAGTGAGAGGAAATTGTACTAGATGGCAATATATCTGTACGTTCCTACACACAAAACCCTCACAGAGTAGCCCATAAATTACCTGACTATTTTGTCCGAAACAAGACTGAACGAGACTAGTTACTACGGTAATATCACGTAACAGGCTTTGTTTGTTTGAGTATACACTGCTTGGTCGAACTCTCAGTTATTCATTCGCACTGGGATGTGGCTGGTTGCCCACCAAAAGTGCTGGAAAAATCTTATTCAGTTCAAACACTGTAGTAAAAGGAAGTTTTCATTTGGTCTTGTTTCCTGTCCTGAACTTTTCTTGGAAGCACTTGCCAGGTGATTTAAACAGCCGTTAACTTCAAACAGAAACAGCTAGATCTGGATGGACAGTAAAATATCCAAGCGTTGAATAGATACAATACACTACTTATTAGGTCGATGAAAAAATTCGACATCCCAGAACCATTTCTGAACTTCTTGTGGCTAACCAGGTAGATGCGGTTTCGTCAACTTTATGTTCTACTTGAAACTCAATTCAAAGTTCGACTTATACCCTCATCTGAGTACTATTTTTATGTTGGCAGAAGTCTCACCTGAAACCCAGGTGAGTCCCTCGCTCATGATAGTCTATACTGATTGAGGTTTCCAAGCTCCATATTCCAAGTTTGTACTTTTTAACATAACACTAGATTCTACCGTCCAGTTTCGCGTGCACCAACACGTATTCTATTGTTTAATTTATTTCTTCCGGGAAATCAAGTCCCGGAGTACAGTTCAGAGATACCAAAAACACGTTGCCCCGGCCAGTCAAAAATACTATTTTTCTCACATGACGCGCCTTATTGTGGGGGACGCTTTCATTACTCCGGACTAAAGATATGAGGTACATTCAGCGTGGGCGAGTTGGCCCAAGTGGTTAGGGCGCGAATTTACTGACCGGAAGGTCCGAATCCGACCTCTGCATCTCGACTTCCCCTGTCTAGGCTTGGGCAATCTGACAGTATCCCAGCCCTCGTGCTTCCTTCGGGTGACACGGCAGTTGGGCACCGAAAGGGTGCTACAGCTGAACGACATTCAGTGCTCCGGTTTGTCCTGGTCAGTGTTGCTCTCTTTTATCTGAGCGATGGTGATACAGGCGCCTGCTAGATGGAAAAATCAGATATCTATCGAATACGTCTCAAAGTAATGTGGACATGCTGAAATCAAACTGGGTCATGATCTACGGGGAGGATGCACCGCGTTGTAAAACGCCTCACAGACTTCAGGGAAGTGATCTCAGTCATCCCCTTCAAGAAGACAAACATCAGTGGTTGTGTAATCCTTCTAAATGTGCACGTGATTCGATTAAGTGCCTATGCTGTGACGTAAGTTTTCCGGAGCTCAGCTTCATGCTAAACGGCCAATTCAGTAGCTTACGGCAGATGGGGTTGGGTAAACTAACTGTTTTATACATACTGGATACTGTTTTTGCATACAAGAAATGCCTCTTAATGAGTGGCTGAATGTGCCTTTCCCAATCATCGCTTAAAGTACATGCACACAATTGTTTACTCACCTTCCATTCTTGAGACGAGCATCGAAAGTAGGCAAAATTATCCTCAATCCAAGAGTATATGTCTGTCAAGGCCACTTTCTGTTTTTTCAAGCTTTGCATACTCATATAAATTAGGCTGTGAAATGAATAGGGTGGAAAGGAATCTGGGTCCTCCCGGAACTTCTCTCTGGTGATGGGGTCGAGGGAGTCCAGGGTATGGAATAATCCTGAGGTGGAAGTATCTACCGTATCATTGGTACTGGTCGATAGAATGTTCTTCCCTTCGTTACGACACAGGAGTGTTGGGTACAACCGACTGTGTGCTATCCCGTCTTTTGTTAGCAAATCACATGCGACGGGAACGTTGAGAAGGTTGTGTATCACAGGAAGGTGTTGCGCGACAGTGGACGCTTCATTTGTGTCCATTTCAAATCGAGGTACAGTAATGGAATTTTTGCTGCCATTTGTCACGACCGCGGAATTGGTCTCCGGAGTGCAGTGTAGCACTGGACTCGATTTAGGGCAAGCCCTTGGCTGAGAAATTGGACTCGAAAGTCCAGGGGATGAGTGTATATAATATGAGCTTTCCACGGGACATGACGAATTCATACTCTGCCAGATCACAGGGCGTGGTGGTGACATGAGTATATCACATGGTAGGGATGTCACACCTGTTGTACCGGTGGATGAGTAATTGTTCCACAAAGATTGGGCATCCGTCCTCAGAACAACTGGCATGTGCATTTGATTGCGCTTCGAAGGAATGGAGTAGAAAGTACACGTGGCTCGATCAGCTGCGTTAGCGGGTGAACGGTGATGACTGCCATGCCGGAACGATCCATGTTTCGTAGGCTGTGAAAGCATCGAAGGACGGTGGCACACACTTCCAGTAGAGAAAAAATTGATGTATTGGGGCTTTGTACGGTGATTACTGTGCATTGTAGGGGAGGATGTGTTCAACTGGTTCCGCGATAGCCTAGAATGTGTGGTCGAATTCCCACACAGGCTGAATGTGTTAATCGAAGGCTGTGAGTGTGTCATACTCGTTGGGGGAGGTGACAAAGGTGTGTCCGGAGCAGTGAGTTTGGTCAGGTTGATATTCTGCAAAATCATGGGAAAGTGTTCATTTGGTCAGAACTGAACCAATCGAAAAAAACGTTCCACATTCATTGTTGAAGTAATATTCCGGTTTTCAATAAGAAAGACATAATTACTTGGGGTTTACTAACAGTTCCTGATGCCCAGACATTCTCGCTCTTAACAATACAATTTGGAAACACCAGCAAGTTGTTAAGCCCAATATAGGCGGATTTATTTGCCACATTTACAAAAAAATGAAGTAGGAAAGTTCTGGAATTGTGCTGTTGAAAATACTAAAACGAATATGGTCAACGTGAAATTCGGGAAAGTACAATCCACGCTATTTTTGCTGTGGTGATCCCTGTCAAAAATTAGATCACCTCTTGAGTAGCCTGGAGGTGTCTGACATTCTGATAATCATAGTAATAAGGATAAGAGTCTAGCTGTGGCGCCGTTTTAGTGCGTAGCTACCGTGCAATTCAAAGGACTCATCGGGGAACAGGCACTCCTAACTTGCTCAAACCCAGAGAGGAACAATCGAATAGTCAAGCTTGGACCGGACCGCCCCACCCGTAACTTGCTTGAGGATGTTGCTTAAGACCGCTGGTTCCAGTCTCCAGTTGTTCCATCCACTGTAACCACAATAAAGTCAGTGCACTGAGCCTTGTAGGCACGGTGGTTATGGTCATCTATGGCAATGCACATGTGATCGTGCGTCAACAAGTCCGACAGTGGCAAGTTGCCCACTATTTCGTCTGGCCTTATTCCTCATGCAAGGAGGGTCACTCCTGAGAGGTAGCATATGACACGCTAGCCAAATCCCAGAGGCATATACGGTATAACGCAGATTGAGGACTGCCAAACCGCATGATGGGAGACCCTTGGAAGTGATCTAGCAATCATTGCTTCAGAGACAATCGGCAGCTTGTTTCCAAAGTTCTGCACAAGGTTCGCCATTTCCTTATTTGGTCAGTTAGTGAACGACCTCAGGTTAGACTTCAAAGCATCAAAAGTTTGTTTAGGTCGTACACCAATTTGGAACAGAAAAGTTGGGTAATACATCTTAATATAGTACAACATAGTACAACGGAAAGCAACCATCATGTTGCAAGAAATTCGCAACCTGAATTGGTTGGCTTTTTCTGGATTCGAATCGGACAAAATTCCCAAATCTTGTCACGTCTGTGGAAAATACGTAGTGAAATGTACTGACAACCTTTGTTTGTAAAGGAACCCAAGGTTACTGGAAAAAACCAGTGCCAAAACCCACCACCCTTGTTCAACCTTCTGGTCATCTTTAAACAAAAAATGCATCACTTCTGAATTACACAACACCCCGGTTTGAAAAACTTTCGGTTTTTCCCTTTGCTTCATTCGAGTAGTAGCTGAGAACCATCCGCCTTTGAAATCGACAAGTCGATAAGTGACAGTTTCTGCTGCTTTTTTATGAAAGAGAATAAAGGATCTTGTGTTCTAATAGTCTGTCTGAAGGTGGCGTTATCGGGATATTCAACTACCTAATTAGGTAGCGCTTGGATAAATGAAAACCAGTTCTCGTTCGTAAAGACCTGATGGGATAAAGACCGCCTTCAGAGTTCATCACATTTTCACAAATTACGCCATTTTGTTGGTAAAACTTGCGTCAATGACTATCGAGCAACAAGTTTTTGAAAGACAGTTTCACAATCATGCTGTCTAATCAGTGTTCTCTCCAGACCTATTCAGTTTGACCTCGCCAATTGCAAGTGAACTGGAACCCAGCATGATAAATTACTACGAATGACCTATTCGAATGGTATACACCCGACATAATAAGAACGTCCGGACCACCTCATATAATTAAGAATCCAGGTGACTCTAGTGTGCAGTTGAGGACACCACAAAAAAGGGAAACTACTTTAGGATTGTTGCAACGATATGCAATCAAATGAACTGCCGTAGTCCATTTTGGAATACGGGTCGTTCAAAAGTACAGTAATGGGACAAGAAACCAGAAGAGATCTGGAGACAAATTCGAAGTAAATTTTAGTGCCGAGTCTTAGTACGGATCATTTGGTATTAAAGGCTTGTACACTTTCATAAAGGAAACTGGTCACTGTGTGGCTGAAAACTCTTCGACACCCGACGACCGGTTTCGCCCTTCTTGGGGATCATCAGGTAGGCGCAGTCCCCGAAATTCCGTCAACCTTATGTTCTACTTGAACCCACTACACTTTATCTAGACTTTATCTGTGAAATGCCCCCATAACTCAAAAGATCAGCCAAAAAGGATTTCGAAAACAAATGTTAGGAAAAAGGTTGCAAATGGAGTAAGTCCAAAGCAAGTCATCTTAAGGAAGTATGGTTTTTTACTCCTGGTTAAAATCTGCAAAGGTATTTTGTTGACTGGCCGAATTCACTGCATGTGGACCCACCCCACCTAACCGGTCGAAGTAGGCAAGCATATACTGGGTATTTTCACTACTGGAATGAGAGATTGTATGCAGTTATGCTTTCGGAAACGCGGAGATTGTCGGTCAAATGAACGGGGGCTTAGCTGCAAAGATTACTAAACGAATAGGCACTTTCTCTCAGGAGACAAGCTAACTAAGGAGTGGAAATCACAAAAAATACAAACCTAAAAATTAAGCAAAATAACCCATTGAAAGCCCCAAACATGGATGATTTTCTTGAGGAATGAGTCGAACCCAAATCGGTTCGACTTAAATAAGCAAAAATATAGGGGATAAAGAGTAGATATATGATCAGATTCAACTCACTTGCAACCAATTAAGATTCGTTAACGAATCATCCTGATCCTGACAGGGCGTGCACGTTTTGTCCGGGTATCGTGTGAGCCAGTTTTGTCGTAACTTTTTCGCCAAAAAGTCACTGGTCTGTTCTACCATATCCGCTAAAAACACCAAACATAAATAGGTAAGTCCACCGCACAGGCGGTTATTCTTGCTCACGCGGAACAGCTGAATGGGGCGGATCGATTCAAATTCGAGAAAAAATCAATCGACGAGATCGAAACCTATCACGATCAACCCAGGGAAGTAAAAGCTTTCTCCCCAAATACGGGTGTACAAAGAGGGTACTTTTAGTGATTAATATTCCGTTATAGGCAGCATGAATGATGCTTTGAAACATAAACACATTACATGACGGTGAATGCTTGTAACCTGGCTGTCGAGCCGCTCCTTCTCAGTCACTAAGATGTCCGCAACAGGTAGGAATACAGGATTATGCTCGTTATCCCATAAGGACTTTAGGAAACTTAGGTGGGAGGCCTTTTCACATGGGATCGGTGGACACTTCAAACATGATGTGGTTTCAGCGAGTGGAATGTTACGGAAACTTACGGTATTCTGTTGCCGACTGTAGATATCGCTTAACACATCTGAAATAAGACGAAGAATCTTCTTTGAGTGCCAGACGTTTGACACATTATACACCAGGTGTATGGAGAAGGTGTGCTAGGGATTGTCGACACAGCGATTAGTGCTATTGAGTAGCTTCGACGCGTTCGCAGATTGATTTCGTCATTTAAAGAAACCAGTACGCCAAGTTGAATTTCTAGTCACAGAATCGCAACAAACCGTTGGAATTACCGTGGGACAAGTGCACAAAACGGTTGGCGTAGTATATCTAGCCTACTTCGGCGATTTTTGGGCGTATTAGCGATCGATTCCCTGTTAGTCGTTTATCCATGATGTGTTCTGGGTAAACGGACACCATTTGATAGCGGCTTGGAAGTTTGGATTACTCGATAAAACACCAGGTGATAGGATAGCAGAAGATGCAGTGTAAAATGCATCGGCATACTTCAACTAGTACTGTGAGGTGTTCAGGTGTTCACAGTTCAAGAAACGCAAGGCACTCCGACCATTAGCGTCTGCACCCCATCATCATTATCATTACCGGCTGGAAGAACCATGCATTTGTCGTACACTGCTTGTATCTGGTGTTGGTAGCTGCGCATTTGAGACAGGAGCTGATAAATTGGTGCATAAATGCAGGACTGCTGAGTGAGCTGAGGATTGCGAAGGACGTTATGCAGTGAAGGCAATAGCTTGGATGCACGAGTGTTAAAAGGGCGCAACTGGGACATGCGTGACAATGTCTCTAATCATTGATGTGGCCCGTCTCGGGGTCTCCATCCAGGAAGACGGCAGTGACCAGCGCAGCTGAGTTTGCCGGTAATGGCTATCATACTTCGCTGCCAAGTCATTGTTTGACTGCATCTGGCTCTCTTCAACCCTTCGATTGGTTGTGCGCAAAGATCCCTTCGAGGAATTCGGTCGACTGGCATACGCAGCACGGGGCCAAGCCAGAGCAACTTGTGCAGTGTGATCAGTTCATCTATCGAGGGTGAGTTACTTCTTCCGAATACCATTCGACTTACTTCAGCACCGCTAATCCGGTGTTCCCACCAGATTCGAGCAATGTTCCGAAGACATCGATGGTCAAACACTGAAAGTCTTTTGACCTCCTCGGCGCGCAGCGGCCAGGTTTCTGATCCATATAGTAATATGGAGCGCACCGCAGCATTGCAAACTCGACCATTGACAGAGAAGTTGATGTCGCGCCTACGCCACAGGTGACGTAGGTTCACGAAAGCTGCTCTGGCCTTCCCAATTCGGATGGAACTATCATCTTTTGCGAG